TCTTTTCTTTCATTTTCAACTTTTTCCTTTTTTTTTTTTTTTTTTTTTGGCTGTAGCACGAGGTCTGTCTTTAGTTTGCAAATGTTCTTACACACCCATGCAAAAACATATGCTTTGTTGTGTTATAAATTACACATTTTGGTGTATATCCTGACTTGTACTTCAAAGGATAAAATTCACTGCTTATTTATTTATCATATAATGTGCAGGATAAGGCCATGAGTCAAACTCGGAGATAATTTCACTGTCACCTGGAATGTTAATTCAACACCAGACTAACTCTTACTTGTGTGTGAGTGTGTGTGTGTTTTGAGAAGCGGGTATCTATAGGTAATGTTGCTTGAAAACAAATGTTGCAGATAAATGGAATAATACAGGGTATCTTGTGAAAATTTCTGTCCGCTGGTCAAGCAGTGTGCTTGGTAATTTAAAAGGACCTTTTTTATTTCTTTCTTCACTTCTCAGCCTTTCCAGAGCTATTATCCTCAGAGTGGTCACATTATATGAAGTGGGTCCACAGTTTTGTAATCTCATTCTAGTTATTAGTTTTATAATCCACACAGTTGTCTTTAGATATAGACGTCTTACAGTCATTCTGACTTGGACCAAAGTAGAATCATGACCTTAAAATCTTCAGCAAGCCAAGTCATCTTTAGCTGGAAGAACTTGCTTTTCCTTACTGCAGGCACAGGGTTTACTGTTAAGTAAAGAGAAACAAAAACAAATATTAAGATACATTAAAAATACAGTATGATGCAGTGATTAAAAGGCTTTGAGTATTCAGAAAAGATTAATTCAGATCTCTACTCTGGTCTGAATTTGTGCATATTTGGAGAAGCCAGTTAACCTCTTTGGACCTTATTCTTATTCTGTAAGACTGAAGATAGAAAGCTCAAGGTGATCCAGATCTGCTTAATTATTTTGATAGTCTGGTAGAAGGTGTTACATCTATTAACACTAATATTATTTACAGCATTCTTATTGCAAGTAATAGTAGTATTTTTTAAGACATATTAATATTTTACTTTATTTTACTGCTTCCAAATGGGTGCTCTGCCCCGCAGGTACACATACATACATATTAGCACACATACAGCACAGCCTGCACATGACAAAAGCAATTTTCTAGGCTTTTCTATCTGAGTACTTTGATGATGCATCTGTTAGGGTAGTAGCAGAATAATCATGTTACAAAAATGTCATACATGAAAGGGGCAAAAAAATGTAGGAAAGTATTTGACCTGTTTAAGCTCCAATCAAATCCCATTCATTAGACCTGTGAATAAATAAGTCCCACATCATGAAGCCTATATAGCTGAAGCACTTTGGAAGAAGAGGTTTTGGAAGAAAAATCCCACTTTTCACATTCTGCAGCATAAATGTCCTGTGGAGAGACATAGGACTGCAGTCCCTAGGCTTGCCAATTCCTTATCTTTTTTGAATGTTAAATTAATATCTAAAGCTATTTATTCAAAGTTGACTTAACCACTAGAATAGGAAAGATCAGACAAATCAGTTGCAAGAAATGAAGTATGAGGAAACCAGAACTCTTTGACAAAGTATTCCTTGGAGTAAACGTATTGAATGAAGCCAGCAAGTAAATGATAAGGGCCTTCGCGCTCTGGATATAAGAAAGCAATTTATCAAGAGTACATGAACTCTCCAGTGACCATAAGCCAAGAAGAAACCACAGTATGGGAGAAGAAGTCCCTATAAAATTATTTTAAATGCTCAGAAAGTTTTGTTTAAAAAAAACAGTGAGAAGTTTAGGTACTCTAACACAGTGCACAAAATGGAAAGAAAATTAAGTTTAAACTTTGATACTCAGTAAAGTGCATGATGTCATATGCAATTCCACCATATTTAACTTCACAAGGGGATAAGAATTACCTTCATCCTGCAAACCTCCCCTCCCCTCATATCTAAATTCTTCACGTCACAGTGAATAACATGAAATTCACACAAAAGGGTAAAACAAACTAGCCAGCTCAAGTAGCAATGAATTAATGATAGAATTTGGGGTAAATCAGGGGAGTAATTTTTAACATGTTTACAAGGCTGGGGTTTAGGGTGTATTTGTTTTCTTTTTTTCCCCTAGAGGTTAAGTCACTGACCTTTGGCAGTCCCAGTTGATTCTGCATAGCTTCAGTCTTCGTCATCAGTTAATCGTAAATTTTCTGTAATTTCTTTTGAACTTACCAGTATTGGAGTCTCTGGGGCTCAGCTGAGCACCCTTCTGCTACAGGAATTAAAGTTAATTGTGACCTTTGGAAACTAGGCCTGGGTTGAACTGCATCTGTGAAAAAGAATCACTCAGTGATGAGTGGTATCCCTCAGGGGTTCGTACTGGGACCAGTACTGTTTAATATCTTCATCAATGACATAGGCCGTGGGATCAAGTGCACCCTCAGCAAATTTGCAGATGACACCAACCCCAGTGGTGCGGTTGACACACCTGAGGGATAGGATGCCATTCAGAGGGACCCAGACAAGCTTGAGACGTGGGCTCATGTGAACCTCAGAAGGTTCAAAAAGGCCAAGTGCAAGGTCCTGCACCTGGGTCAGGACAACCCCCATACAGACTGGGGGATGAAGGGATTGAGAGTAGCCCTGCAGATAAAGACTTGCAGTACTGGTGGACAAAAAGCTGGACATGAGCTTGCAATGTGCACTCACAGCCACGAAGGCCAACCCTATCCCGGGCTGCATCAAAAGAAGCGCGCTCAACAGGTCAAGGGAGGTGATTCTGCCCCTCCACCTTGCTCTGGTGAGACCCCACCTGGAGTACTGCGTCCAGCTCTGGGGTCCTCAGGAAAGACATGGACCTGTTGGAGCGGGTCCAGAGGAGGGCCACAAAAATGATCAGGGGGCTGGAACACATCTCCTTATGAGGGCAGGCTGGGAGAGTTGGGGTTGTTAAGGCTGGAGAAGAGAAGGCTCCAGGGACACCTTACTGCAGCCTTTCAGTATTTAAAGGGAGCTTAGAAGAAAGATGGGGACAGACTTTGAGCAGGCCCTGTTGTGATAGGACAAGGGGTAGTGGTTTTAAACTTGGAGGGTAGATTCAGACTAGATACAAGGAAGACATTTTTTATGATGAGGGTGGTGAGACACTGGAACAGGCTGCCTGGAAAGGTGATATATCCCTGGAAACATTGAAGGTCAGGTTGGATGGGGCTCTGAGCCCCTTAGTTGAAGATGTCCCTGCTCATGGCAGGGGGGTTTAACTAGATGTCCTTTAAAGGTCCCTTCCAGCTAAAACTAGTCTTTGATTCTATGAATTGTCCAGGTGGTATTTCTCTGGAATAAGTACATCTGCCAAATTCAGTGTGCTTAGATAATTTTTTTTTATTATGTTCTTGTCTTTCCTTTAGCTCTTCTCTTATATTTAACCCCTTTTCTTTCAGCCTTGGACAAGCTTAGTACTCAACACCTCTACCACCCAACCCAAGTGGAGATTGTGCAGTCCAACGTTGTGTTTGACATCAGCAGCCTGATGCTCTATGGTACTCAGGCTGTGCCTGTGCGACTGAAGATACTACTTGACCGACTCTTCAGTGTGCTGAAGCAAGAGGAGGTGTTGCATATTCTGCATGGCTTAGGCTGGACACTTCGAGACTATGTTCGAGGTTACATCCTTCAGGTAGGAAATAAAGCAGAGCATGTTTTCAAACCCAGTTAACTGAAATTTTTTTTGTACAGATGTAGTGACCGTGCACCCAAAGAGGTAGAAGGATAGGAAGTAAATTTAGTGTGGCATGTTGAAGATCATGTTGGCAAAATTAAACATTCAATTTTTCCTAAGCTAAAAAAATGCAGGTTCCTTCGTACCGTAGTATTTATTTGTACTTGCTTACGCTTATTGTAGGAAATACCTTGAATACTGCAAATACTGAGGTTAGCTAGCCACAATCCTCATTTGGTCATCAAAGGCAACTGGCAAGTGTTCAAGGGCTACTGTTCGACTTAAAAAACTAAGATCCAAGTCAACAGCTCCTTCATCTTTTCTTTCCTTCTTTAGCAGGGTATCTAATAACGGGTAGATGAAATGGGAGTTGTGATCGTGGTTGTGTTGCAAAGTATCCTTACAGTGTAATGTATGAGCAGGAAAATCCTGTTTATAAGGCCATTTTAAAAAGGTAGCTTTAAATAAAGTGTTACATGCAGATTGCTTATGGTAAGATAAGCAAAACAAAAAATAAGTAAACAAAAAAATGGACAGGCTTGCTTTATGAGTATGGTCATGAATATGTATGGTTTCTTATCTGAAGAATTTCATCATCTGTTGGGTTCCAAAGTGAATTACCACATTTTATAAGACCGTTTGTGATTGAGAATCTAATGCTACATGCTTCTGAGTTCTCGTAATTGCTTCTGACTTTGTCAGAACTTTGCATTATCTAGAAGTCATCCAGTTATGGCAGTGAACATGCCTGAAAAACTTCAAAAATTCTAGTTTCTGCTTTATTTCTTTACTTTCTTAGGCAATGGTAGTGTGCATGGCACTATACAGAAAATGTGGGAATCTTTATTCCTGCTCTGAGGAATTCTGACTCTATTTTTAAATTTGTTTTAATTATCTGTTGTAATGATCTTAACATATGCAAGAATGGCTTGTAATATAATTACATAGAGGTTTATACAGGGTGAGATTGTGACCTATGCATCTGAGTGGTGTAAAGGCCTGTAATACACCATTAGGTCAGAGTTCAGCTTATCTGGCTAAAACTCAATCACATTGTAGCCCTCGAGGCATGAATTTTACCATTACTACATTCAACAACAATATATTGAATATTATGTCAGTTAAAGGAGAACAATTATCAATGAAAGTTAAGGGCAGCTGTTACAGTCTTGCCACATATTGACTTTGTTAGCGCTCGGCTGTGGATTGTGTTAGTGGGTGAATGAAGACCTGTGATAGGTGTAGTCATGCCTGCCTGTTAGTTTAGCTCTCTAATTTCAAAGAATCACAGACTGGTTGAGGTTGGAAGGGAGGTCATCTCGTCCAACCCCCCTGCTCAATGGGGGCCACCTAGAGCTGGTTGCCCAGGACTGTGCTCCAAGCCCCAAGGATGGCTCCAAGGATGGAGGCTCCACTGCCTCTCTGGGGAAAAAATGCATTTTGTTTCCATTAAAGCTAGGAAGCTCAGTGTACGTGAGAAAGAGAAACTGCATAGTAAAACATATATGAAGAGAAATCTTAGGAAAATTAATAAAATCTGTGATAATAAAAAGGTCTTGTTTAAAAGGTAACTCTATTGCAACTACCTGATAAAAAGGGGGAAAGGGACATGCAGGGAAATTTGAAAGGAAGTGTGTAGTAACACACTAGCACAGTAAAAGTGCATACAGTTGAGAATTACAGGTAATGTCTCCTTCAAGCAAAAGGTGTTGTTCCATGGGGCTTGTCATTACAGAATTGGAACTCTTCACGGAATTGTTTGAGGCTTTCAGACTCAGCTTTTTGACACAAAAAGCTTCTGACGAAATGGCATGAGCCTCCAATAGGAGAACCAAAAGTATCATGTACCAAAAGAAATCATCCAGAATATCGCAGAGCTATGGGACCGGTGGTGGACTGTCATGCAGTGAATTCAGGAACATCTGACTCTCAGTCTGGAAATACAGTTCTGTCTGTGCAAACCTGTTTTAAGTTATAACCTAGTCCAGTGAATGCTGGTAATTTTACCATACATTCCTACATACTCATTGTACATCAAATACATAAATATATCTCTCTAGCAAAAGGTTTAAAAAAAATTTGCTATAATTCTGTAGTTAGAAGAGCGCAAACCGGTAAACTTGCTTGTTTGTAATAAAACTAGTATTTTAACTAGTATTTTAAACTTGTAACTTAACGAAATGCTGAGGGCAGGGGGAAAGGAAGTTTAGTAGCTTTGGGAACACTTGCTCAGAAATACAGAACTTATTTGGAACACACAGACTCAGTACCCTAACTCTCTTCTGCAAGGACTAAGAAAAGTACCAGAATAGGGAAAGGGAATGGTTGTGACAGATTCCACAATACTTAATCCTGGTTCAAGTTCCAGTGTTCACCAATTAACCACAGTGCAAAAGATTTGTAAAGCTGGTACAGAATTGGAGTTTCTCCAAAGCTCCCCCAGAATTGGGAAGGTCTGAGATATTAATCTGTGCTGAATTTCCCCTGAATCATGATGGAATTGTTAGAATATTTTAATATTTTCCCTAAATGGAGTTTATTTTGAAGGAGAAAAAAAAAAAAGAAATCTTCGTGTAGATGTATCCACTCAAAATCAGTTATTTTAGTATTGCCAGATATTTTCTTTTCTGCTTAAGATCTATAATGAAAATCTTTTCCCGTGAAAAAAAAAATTAGTTTTTCTCAGCCACTTTTGAGAAAAACCTCACTGTTTGCTCCACTTGAGAAAGAAGAGAAAACCCCTGCCTAGGTGGGTGGGATTATTTGTAATACCCTCATTTTGAGTAATAATGTTTCTAAATAACAAATTAAAAAGCAGTGGGCAGAGAAAAATGCAGTATTTATTGCTTCATTCAGTGGATGCATTAATGGAGCACAGGAAGCGAAGGAACCCTGAAGCCAGTGGAGGAAATGTGATACATTGCCTTTCACATTTGGGCACAGTCACAGCATTGCCAGTAATGGCTGAAAGGCATTAAGACCTGGCAAGCTTTCTCCGGCCTCCGTGCAGCAAACCTCATTTCTGGTGAATAGATAGATACCTATCTCTGAAATGTCAGTGAGTGACAATTTGGTCAGCAGTCACATCACATTACTCACAGGATTAAAGTTTTGGAGGAGGAGTTGTTCTCTCATCTTTAGAAGTGATTCTCAAAAAAACCGTAATGCATAAGGAAACTTTCTGGACTGTGTCTGCTCCATGGGCATCCAGAGCTCTTTGGTTTCTAGGCTTGTTTATCCTGGTGCCTATCTGAAGGAAGTATGTTACTGTATTTGGTGTGGAGCTGTTAGCGAGCCTGTGGGCTTTTTCTTTGCAATCAGCCAACGCAACAACTGTCTTTACATGACAAGAAATTATTCTGTCAACAACAGTAGCTCTTTTGGGTCAGATTCTGCACCTGCTACTCAAAGAGATGTGGTTAGTGCCTCCACTGATTTGGGTGAAGTTGCTTTTGCTGTAAAGAATGGCTCAGTGGTAAGCGTCCAGCCCTGGTTTGGTTCCAGCTGTGCTGAGCGAAGAGGTAACTTTGCCAGCTGTTCTCCTCTGCTCCACCACTGGAGAATACTTTACCCCACCCATTTGCTAGTGTAACTTCATGTGTAATTGCTCCCTAGCCAGGTTCTCTCTAAACAAGCCAGGTTAGAAAAATGCTCCTGCTAAATATGTGCAAGTTAACTCTGCTTATTCTGAGAGGAAAAAGCTAGAGAGTAATTACGGCACTAGCAGTGAACAGCTGGGGCATTCAGCTTTTACACTGGTCCAGTTGTAGATGACAAGACATGCGGCCACAACTTAGAGGCCATAAACTGACTCTTTGCAAATAATGATTCAGTGTTTTGAGTAACAGCTCAACACTTTTTCAACTGTTTTGTGATCAAATAGTTGTATTCCCTTAGTGTAAAAGAGGAAGATAAATATTATCTTTACAGTACAAAGAAGGAAGCAGAGGCACAGAACAGATCATTGGCAGAATCGGGAAAAGGGACTAGATGTAGGATTCCCATTCTTACCATCGTTCCCTTGAAAAAAGGAGATTCTAGTCAGTAGCTCAAGTAGCTCATAGGCAGTATCTTGGCTGTCTGAGTCTTTGGTGCCACTCACAGCTATGAGAAATTAAAAAAATATAAAAATAAAAAAATGAAAAGTAAAGCCAGCTGGAAAAGTATGGGTGGTTTATTGGTGCAAAAGGTGACTCACTTACAAAAGTTCGTGCACTGGACAGTGCACGGGGAATTACTAATCTAAATTAAGGTCTTTCCCATGGCACAATCTCTACTTTATGAATTTAGTTAACTCTTCAGATGATAACCAGGATGGACTGTGGTTTATTCTCCCAGTGCTGTGTTGGTTCTGTAGGGCTAAAACAACTGTTGAACAAGAACAACTGTTGCAGTCACTGAAGTCAGCTAAGAGTAAACTATCAGGAGGTGTACAATGGGGGTGAAATTTAGCCATTTTTTCAAGACAATGTCCCATTAACTAAAACAAACTCACTGAAAACATGAAATACATAGGTGCAGGTTAAACAATTCAGTTCTGAGGTTCTTAAAAAAAAATCGATTATATGCATACTCAATTTCCATGCTCACATATACGGGTGTCATATTTGACTTACAGCTTCTCAAAATTTTGTAAAACTTAGTTGCTCTTGATGGAATGGGTTGTTTTCATTTGCTGCCCTAGTTTCCCACAACTAGGCTGTTCATGCACACCTTTCTTATGTGCAGATTAGGTCAGAGATTTGGGGAGAGACAAAAGAAAGAAATTTGAGCATCTTTAATAATACCATTCTTAATTTCTTTTCTGTTCTTTCTCTGAGTAATCCTTTAGCACCTCATCCCTTCTAAGCAGGTAAATACTAACCATACGCACAGATGGAAATGGCTTTACTGTTTTCAAAATTACATGTTTCCCACCATTGGCTTGTCTGTGAAGGATCGCAGAAAAGCATGGGTTC